AGTTGGTGTGCTCATGAAGGTTAGATTAAGGCCAAATCACATCTCTTCAGAGTCTTAATGACCTTAGAACAGGGGTGTAAAACTGGTGGCCCTCCAGCTGTTACAAAACTACAAGTTCCATCATGCCTCTGCCTTTGGGAGTCAACTGTCAATCTTGCAATGCCTCATGGGACTTGTAGTTTGGCAACAGCTGGAGAGCTGCCAGTTTGAAACCTGTGCCTTAGAAGATTGTACAATGATTATATTTAAGACTGTTAACTATCGTTTTCTGCATTATCAGGTACTTCAGCTTAAGGCTCCAAGTACACTGCAGTTGATAAATGTGAGTTTAGGAGCTTTTCTGTGTTTTTCTCAGCAGCCCCTGAACTCTCCCTAATGTTTTCCTATGTGTCCATGTACACTATGTCGTTTACAGTCGTTTACAGGCAGTTGAGTTCACAGTAGTTTTTTTGAACGCACCAAACTTGCGTTCAGGAGTAGATTTTATCAGCGTTTCAAACGCCAAATGCTTGTAAATGCGGCTAACTGCGTTTATAAGCGTTTGGAATTTTTTTTTTTAACTCCTCCATTTCCAGATGCTGTCCAGAGCCTTTTTTCATCATGGAAAATGCATGCAAAGCGTTTTCCCGGTACTCAAATGGACCTGGTACACCATACTTTGAGGTTTCACATGAAAGAAAATGTTAGACACTACTGCAATAATTTCTGCACAGAAATGAGCTGGAAAACATCCAAACACCACAAAAAAAAAGGACAGCTAATCTCAACAAATACTGCTCTATTTCTCTCAAAATGTCTGAAATAGTTACATTTTTTACTGTTTTTCAGTGCATTCTGGGCATTTTGGAAGGTCTCCTGAGGTTATCTTTAAATAATACTTCTAAACACAAACGCTCATAAACGCAGTATGCAAACATGGCTAAACAGACGTTTTTTAACCTACGTTTTCCAGCAGTCAGTTTCCATCGTTCAGAAGTGTCCCGTGTACATGGAGCCTAAAGCTAGACATTAAGCAAAAACCTAAATACACATGAAAGTGCTACAAATACCTTTTGATCCTGGCAGTGAAGGTCACTTGCTGTATCTTCCTGTGATGTGTTGGCTGATATGTTGCACTGCTCCTAAATTCAGAACAACATATTCCCTAAAGTTAGACGTTTTGGTAATGCATATTTCCTGATATATTAAGTGACCATGGTAAATATTACTTGGGTGCTTGGGTTGCCCTTCTGAATGAGCCAGTTGAAAATATCCCCAAGCACACTTAAATTCTATTCTATTTTGTATTCCTAGTGGCCAAGATAGCAATTGATATGGCTTGGAAGAGCCCTGTGATCGACTTTTTCTTGCTTAAACTTACTTGGATTATGCTTAATGAAAAACTAGTGAGTACGCTCCAAGATAAGCAATCAATGTTTGAAAAGGTTTGTAACCCCTAGCTCTCTCATCTACAAATACCATCTGAATAGTAGTAGATTGGCCGTAATTGGACTTCTGGATGGGTACCCTTCTTCTCCTCTCCCACCATTTTCTTCATGCTCTTCCATATTTCCACTCTTGCTTTTCTTTCTCAGGCACAAAATTTGTTTTTCACATTTGTTCCATATTATGGGAAATGGTATTCACATACATGTATTGTTGTAGAGCCATGTAGTCAAAAATTATACTTCCATGAGCTCCTCAGGTCACACTCTTTTTTTTTTCCAAGTGGGTGTATTATTGGGTATTATGTAAGAGCTTGGTTATGTTGATACTTCTCTTATGAGATCTTTTTCTTTTTTCATTTTTGAGTGGCCCCAGCTGGGAATGTAGTTATGTATTACACGCAAAATAAATGAACACTCTATGAACACTGTGTTTGATATTCCTGCATATGGTTGCTTACTGTGTCTGAGCACTTTCCGGATGTTTGAGGCTACATTCACACCCAAGTGTTCACATTTTCAAGCATTTTTGAGCTTTTTTTGGAGCAGAATTGCAAATTCTTGCACCTTTTGTTGTCAGGAGTTTTTTTTAGTTGTTTTTCAACTAAACATTTGGAGCGCTGCTGAAAAAAAGGTGGAGAGCTGCTGTTTGAGCAGAAAACATGATAAAGGGCTTACTAAAGCTCATGTTGTGCTTTGTAGGAGTTTTCATTGAAGTCTATGAATATAAAAACGCTTAATTCTGCCTGAAAAGCAGCTAATATAGTTTGAGTGACAAGGGGTTTTGCTACAAACAACACAACGCTCGGATGTAAACAACAGCTATTGGAAACAATAGGTTTTTGCTTGTTGAGCATTTTGTAGCTTATAGCTCAAAGCTCAAAAACGCTCAAGTGTGAACGGGGCTTTAAGTTTACACCTTCTTAGTCCTTTAACATTAGTACATTTCTACTACCCAAAATGTTCAAACTTCTTCTTCTTGTGGACAACAAAAATGATTAATAGAATTCAGGATAGCATGGCCACTCTCATGTAGGCAGTGTCTGCTCACAGTACAGTGGGATGTGAGCTTGTTGCAGCAGGTTTGGTTATCAGCACTGCAGAAATCTTCCACTGTGAGCTAAAGTGTCTGGAAGGGGCAGTGTTTGTAGCACAAATAATGGATGATTTGGTTTAATTTATGAGGCTTGTGCTTTCTCATGGTATTTGGATTTGATATTTGTTTAGACTGATATGAGCATTTAGAGATGCTTTAAAGTAGAACTTCCATTTTTGGGTGGAGCTCCGCTTTACTTGTCCCCTGCTCCCCATGAAGAATTGGCACCTTCAGGGAACAGGTACCTGATTTTGACAAGTACCAGCTCCCACTTCTGCTGCGACCACCTAGGCAATCGAAAGTTGTTCTCCTTTCCCTCCCTGACAGGTCCCATTCACAAGGTGGACACCTGGCTGTGTATCGGGACGCCTGCCTTTACACGCACATGAACTTTAATGGCATATCAGTCTTAGTCCGTACGGTGCAATATTGAGTTGGCCCACCCTTTGCTAACAGCTTCTACTCTTCTGGGAAGACTGTCCACAAGGTTTAGGAGTGTGTCTATGGGAATGTTTGTCCATTCTTCCAAAAGCACATTTGTGAGGTCAGGCACTGATGTTGGATGAGAAGGCCTGGCTCACAGTCTCCGCTCTAATTCATCCCAAAGGTGTTCTATCAGGTTGAGGTCAGGACTATGCAGGCCAATCAAGTTCCTCCACCCTAATGTCCATGTCTTTATGGACCTTGCTGGTGTGCAATCATGTTGGAACAGCAAATGTCCAAAATATCTTGGTATGCTTCTTAAGGTGTTCCCTTCACTGGAACTAAGGGCCCAAGCCCATCCCCTAAAAAACAACTTCACACCATAATCGCCCTCCACCAAACTTTACACTTGGCACAATGCAGTCAGGCAAGTACCATTCTCCTGGTAACTGCTGGCAATCTGATGGAAAGGTCTGGATTGGCAGAGAAGCATGAGTCTTCACTCCAGAAAACAAGATCTCCACTGCTCTAGAGTAAAGTGGCAGCGTGCTTTACACCACTGCATCCGACACATTGCATTGCACTTGGTGATGTAAATCTTGGATGCAGATGCTTGGCCATGGAAACCCATTCCATACTCTCTATGCACTGTTGTTGTGCTAATCTGAAGGCCACATGAAGTTTGGGGGGCTTTAGCTATTGACTCTGCAGACAGTTGGCGACTGCTGCGCACTGTGCGCTACAACATGCGCTGACCCTGCTCTGTCATTTTACGTGGCCTACCACTCCATAGCTGAGCTGCTGTTGTTTCCAGTTGCTTCCATTTTGTTATAATACCACAAACAGTTGACCGTGGAATATTTAGTAGCAAGGAAATTTAATGGATGGACTTATTGGCAAGCTATCACGACACCACACTTGAATTCACTGAGCTCCTGAGAGCGACCCATTCTTTCACAAACGTTTGTAGAAGCAGTCTGCATGCCTAGGTGCTTGATTTTATACACCTGTGGCCATGGAGGTGATTGGAAAACCCGAATCCAATGATTTAGAGGGGTGTCCCAGTACTTTTGGCAATATAGTGTATGTCAGATAATGCTGTGAACTAAAACATTTTGGCGTGTCTGCTCTACTTAAAGGATAACTAAATCCAAGACCAAAAATGTAAGTTTATTTGCAGCTTACTGGTCCTCAGATATGGTGGCTGCATTAGTTTTCATGCTAAGAACATTTTCACCAAATTCAGAAAATACTTGTTAATCTTACCAGAAATTCAATGTCCTAAACTAAAATAAAAGCATGGTTATCTTTCTTCTATTTACTACTAAAATCACCCACCCCCTTTGTAATGGAGATGAAAAAAGTAGATCTATGTGAAGTACAACCTTGGTAACAACTATGGATCCCTTTTTATATACTGGCAGAGTGAGTGTAGCCACACAGACCAGTAGAGAGAAAAAAAAAAAAGTGCCACTCAGCTTCCAGAAGTCTAGAATACATTTATTCATATCATCCAGCACACGGAACGTCCACCTGCTACTCTTAGCGCATTTCACTGCATGAGGAGCTTAGACAGAGTCATAGATAGGTGGAGCAGTAGTGAGAGCCTTGTGACAGGGAGTCAGTTATTCACAGAAGTGAAAGTGAAGAAAAAAAAAGTCTAAAAAAAAGAAAAAAAAAAAAAAAAAAAAAAAAAAAAAAAAAAAAAAAAAAAAACTGATGTAGCTACCTCATCCAAGGGACTGGTCAATACATCTTTCTTTTTTGGTTTAGAACATAAACCTTATTGAAGTAAACCACGTCATATATCAAATATATTGTATAAGTAATGTACATGTGAATCAATGGCAACACCTGTAAATTCAAGATCTGAAAATATAAAATCCAAACTTCCATATTTATTTTTTTTAAATAGTGCAATGAAAAACTATGTAACAATAGGTAACGGACAACTTTTTAAAATTGAAAATATTGCTTGTGCCATAATCTTTGAGATAAAGTACATTTTTAAATATAATGTCACATAAAATCAGCCATTGACACAGTCATGTGTCACCTTACTGTATATGTATAATAACAATGCATAGAAGAGACACCAGTCCTAGAGCTTGTATGCCAAGGAACCAAAGCATTACTCCAAAAAATATTATGAGAACGGGTTCCACAGTCCTTTCACCAAAATACATCCGAGAAAAGCCAGTCTCCAGAAGAATTTTATTGAGTTCACCAAAGAGTGTCCCCATTTTTTCATAGTCATCTTTTCTTATCTGTGGTGGACGGTTGTTCTGATCTGTTGGTGCCTGCAAGGACAGGTAGGAGTCATGTTAAAATATTGTGCACAGCTTCATAAAAGAATAAAAACAGAAAATGTATCAAGTATAGTACATTCTAAAAGAAACATTATGTACCATAAAAAAAAACCTTTTATTTGGGTTAGTTCTCTAATGTTTATAAGTACACAAACTAGGGATGCACCAATACAGACTATTTTAAGGAGTACTCGTACTCATGAAAATACTCCTGATACCTTAACCAATACTTTGCAAGCCAATTTGGGTTAATGGATGCAAATTGCACCGCAAAGATTAGCATGCGATTTAAACAGCAAGGCGATTCCTGTCCAAATTGCACGCGGTTTCTCCACTGCTCATGTGAACCCAAGCTTGTCATAGCCCGAGGTCACACAGGAGCAGTGCGGGGAAACCTCCCTGCAGGCATCCCCCATACTGAGTCTCAGTGGTAGGAGAGAAAGCGGTGGGAATTTGAAATCCCTGCCACTTTTTTTCCACTCCTTGCAGTGATGATAGTTCGGGCTGGATGGCATTTGATTGGTCGGCACCGTCCATGTGATGGTGCTGACCAATCAAAAGTCCTCTAGCCCGAACGGTCATCACTACAAGGAGAGGAAAGAAAATAGTGAGGATTTCAAATCCCTGCCACTTTCTCTCCAACTACTGAGACTCAGCATGGGATACCTGCAGGGAGGTTTCCTGCACTGCTCCTGTGTGACATCTGGCTATGACAAGCTTGGGGTCACACAGAAGTGGAGAAACTGCATGTGATTTTAACAGGAATCACAGTCCTGTTTAAATCGCATGTTATTCTTTGCGGTGCAATTTGCATCCATTAACGCAAATCACTCTGCAAAGTATCGGTAATCGGTAATGGTGAGTACTAGACCAAAAGTATCTCGTACTTGCCGATAAAAACAGAGTATCGGTGCAACCCTAACACAAACCAAACTAATTCAGACTAAGAAAATATCAATTAAAAACCCACCTTTAAATGACACGCATATTGAGAGGTCTTTGAAAGAGGGTTTATTGTAAAGATCTGTAACAAGCAGGGGATCCATGTGCAGCTACCCCTCCTAGACGGAGCTGAATAGGACGGATGTCCAATTTGTTTTCTTTTTAAGCATCCCTGGCCATTAAAGCGGGTCTCCAGGCTCCCCCCAAAAAATTAAAAGTCAACAGCTACAAAACCTGTTACTGCTGACTTTTAATATAAGGACACTTACCTGTCCAGGGATCCAGCGATGTCCTGGAACTATGAAGTGTCCCAGAAGGCTGGACTGGAAGGGGCGAACTTCCGGCTTAGATTGCCACGGTGTGTCTGGATTTGACAGGTACCTACTCCCACTTCGAATCAGATACCTGCTCCCCCCCAAAAAGAGCCAAATGTGGCAGTAGATGAGTGAAGTTCCATTTTAAGTTTGTGCCCGGCAGACAGGGCCGCTGTTAGATATCACGGGGCCCCGTACAGCCTACCTGACAGAGCCCCCCCTCCACCACCAGAGAAAATATCCAAATTATATTTATGGTAAAAATACACTAAAAACATTATTAATGGACACAATCCCAACCAAATTCCTGTGAAATCTAAATGATAAAACTGTACTGAATTCATAAATAAAGCTGTGTGTAATTGAGGTCTTGGGGCTCATTCCCATGGGTGCTTTGGCCTGTAGGAGTGGGAATCAGTGGTTTGTTTTTGTGGCTGTCGCCATTTGCAGGCAACCTATGTTATACTATGGAAATGCTGCAGGTCCTAATTTGACAAGCATATGGGTGCAGGTGTACAGCCCTGAACACAGACAGTGAGCATTCAGGGCCACTTCCCCACGCCTTCACACCTGTCAGATTAAAACCTGTGTTCATACAGCTGCTGTGTCCCCATAGTGTAACAGGTGGCTCCAGCCACATGAACAACCCACTCATTCATGCTGTACAGGCCAGAGGACCTGTGTGAATGGGGCATTTTTGACAATTTTTTTTCCCTCAGCCTACCAATTTCAATGGGCTTCCTAACGTGTAGGAACATGCAAAAATACTGCAGACATATTATTTTAAAAGTGTGTTGCACCTAACCGCACAGTAGTGTGGTAACATGTAAGGTAAGTATTTATGGTACCTGCACACATCTGCAAAGGGCATTGTGTTTCTTTGCTGTGCAGCAAAATGCATGCTTATGCATGATTTCTGCACCACAAATGGTGTTAACAAGTCCTAAGGGCCGGTTCACACTATAGAAAAAAACGCATTCTAGATGTGTTCCGGATTTTTGCATGCAAATTTGTGAAGCATTTTTAGCGTGTTCCGGTGTGTTTTTTTGCATTCCAGTTAATTTTTCCCCCTCTTTTTCTTTAATTAGGGACATGTACATTCCAGAGCGTTTTTGGTGCATTCCAGTGCGTTTTACAGCGTTACAGTACAGTTATGTGAAGAAAAAATGAAACCTGTTCTACTTTTTCACGCACTGGAACTGCAAGCACTGATGTGAACTATGACATTGACAACCACATAACCTTCTTTCTGCGTGTTTTGGATGCAGGAAAAAAAGCAACTGAAAAAAAAACGCATGTAGTGTGAATTAGCCCTAAAGGTTTGGGAATAGGTAAGGGAATGGGACGGACCAGGAATTGTGAATGCAAATCAGACTAGTGGTGAGATCAGGGGTAGACTGACAACTCATGGGGCCCCTGTGTCCTTGCCACACTCAAAAAAGCCTATGAAAAAGGTATCAGGGGCATCTCATGGGGCCCCCTACTGACCCCGGGCCCTCGGGCAGTGCCAAGTTTCCAAATGGTCAGTCCGCCCCTGGGTGAGATACAATTAGGAATCATAATAGTAGATAGTATAAAGGTTACAGGCAGAGAAACAAAGCACTAGGCTTCAGACCAGGAGGAGTGAGGTGGGGACAACAAGCCTGGTGTAAGCTCCAAACTAACTTATCTGAGCTTACACAAGGCTTTTTCTACAGTCCCATGTGACCATGCTGGGCCAATCAGAAAGCACCCAGTTCTTTCACAAGGAAGGAGAGTGGGTCACATGCTCACTCACAACCAGAACAGGTGTGGGTTTGGGAGTGATAGAAAGATGAGGAGGGGATGCAAAGTGAACTTTTTATTTGCCCAGCATTGGCAAAAAAAGGCCTTTTAAATGCAATGATACTTTAATTTGATCCCACCTCCAAAAATCATAGTCCTTTCTAGGTAGCAGGCTCTCTAGATTATACATTAAGCATTGTGTGAATGTTCCTGTGTTAAGCACGCCTATTCAAAAGTATACAACTTATTATTATAGTCAAATATAAAAAGTTATTTATATCCAGCAAAGCTACAATTGCTTAAATCCCACATAGAGCATCCATATTATTAACAAACACTCACAGAAGAATAATTGGCGTGTGAGCCTTCCCTCATCGCTCAGGCAGATGGCATGGTAGTGGGAGCCAGCTTGCATGCAGAGAAAATATGAAGTCATCATCAAAAATGTGAATATCTTTACACTGCAAGATCAGGAGGGTTTCCCAGGCTTTGGGAAAAGTGCCCACATTAAAGCAAATTGCATAGACAAGCAACTGTGTACAGACTTTCCCATACACTGCAACGTAATCCAACAAATGTACAAAGTTTTGGAGTACCCTCGTCAGCTTATTATATTCACTTGCAGGTCTCGTCACATGGCAAAAAAAAAAAAAAAAAAAAAAAAAAAAGACACTTTTTCCTATTCTAATTTGAACACAGGTGCATTGTTGTCTATATAAAATTACAGAGCTGCATAAAGAGCAGTAATACAGCAATGAACTCACAGCCGTTCATAAAATAAAAATAGAAAATGTTAGGTTTGAGTGGAGTAATTTATGCACATTATTATTTATACAGGATTTATATGGTGCCAATAGTTTGTACAGCGCTTTAAAACATGAGGGCAGACAGTAGAGTTCAATACTTGAGGAATCAGAGAGCCCTGCTCCTTACCCCCGGTTCACATATCCATGTTCCTGCGGGTTGCATTTTGCGTGGGCACGAGAGCGCATTCATTTGAATGGACTCCCGTGCCCCGGGGCACACAGGGAAGTCCCTGCACTTCTGATGAAAATGCAGCCCGCACGGGAACCTTGATTCCCAGTACGGTTGCGATTTCCAGTGCAGTCGGCGTGCCATTAGAATTAATGGCACCCACCTGCGGGTCCACATTCTTCTGTGTGGGTGGTGCGGCTGGCATGGATTTTTGTGCGGATCCACAGCGGCACCACCCGCACATATGTGAACCAAGCCTTACAGCTTACAATCTAAAATGCAAATATATTGCAACATTGGAAACTAAGAGGATGAAGAGGTATATTCCCAGTGTATACATGTATGCACGTTTACACGCCTATTTGTGTGTAAATGCAAAGGCTTTGCAGAACATTTTACTTAGGATCTTTCTGTGAACAAGATACTTTGTATTAAGATGGGAATGAGGGACACCTATTAGTAAAAGTATGAAGGCATAAGACACACAATCCTGCCTCACCCCCCTTAAAAAAGAGAATTGTACAAAAAAAAAAATAAAATAAATATAAAAAAAAAATAAATATATATATATATATATATAAATATAAATATGATTGGTTAAACCCACAAGTGCTTTTTTAACCATTACTATTCCTTTTTATTGGCTTTTAGAAATTTTCAAATGCAGCAATTTAGAGATTAGATGAAAGGTTTGGCACCATAAAACACTTTTTGATAGAGAAGTAGTGCATTTTATATACAAATATATAGGTCAGACCAAAATGAGGGACAAATAAAGGATGAAAGAGGGAGAGAGGGACTTTGTCCCAAATGAGGAACAGTCCCTCGAAATCAGGGACAGCTGGGAGCTATGGATATGGGATTGCTAAAGAATATACAGTACATCTCAATGTGCCGGTTCTCTTCTTTATGGCTGCCCACATGGCAGAGCCAGGTACA